CTCTTTCCTTACAAACCTCTTCTCCTGAGGCAACCTAATCTTACTGAAGGGTCAGGATCTGTTTGTAAAGAGCCTCACTCCATTGCAAAGGCTTCAGAGCACCAAGCAATTTGATGTTTGGAGACTCTTCTCTTTCTCCATCCCCCTTTCTTCATCCCTCTACTTCTTACCCACCTCCCATTTATACCTCTTCCTTCTCTGAAAGCAAAAGGCATTCCCAGCCCCACACACCAACAGCTCTTTTTTGCTCCAGGAATGGCAGTGAGCTTGTTTCCAGTCCCGCACACTCCCTGGTGCTCAGATCTATGGCAGATGAGCCAAGCTGCATACCTGGTGGCCAGCACAGGGCTTGAGTCTCAGATGTCAGGATAGCACTGCTACCTAATCCTATTGGAGAAAAGCATATCTAGACTGTGATACAGCTCTGGTGTCAGTATTTTGCTAACCCTAGGTAGCCCCCCCAAATGTGTACGCTGCTGCTCTGACATCACAGTTTTGCAGAAACCCATTGAGTAGACCAGGGTAGTTTCCATTTCCTTCTCATTTTTTTTTTCTTCTGTATGTGGTGAGTCTGGCTCAGAGTGACGCAGTAGTCTTCCTTGCACAGCAGGCTTTGAAACCTCAAGCTGTCAGCAGCATAGCACAGACATCAATCACCTCAGTGGTTCAGGAAAATATTTCCCTCACTTTCTCCAGCAAAGAAAGAGGTGGCTTGGTCCTGTGTTCACCTTTGGGAGAGAATGGGTTTAGGAGGGCAGTGTGAGCTGGAAAAACTCTCAGGTTAGATGTTACCCCCAGGGAAGGATGCGATGCTAGGACTGGGAATGGGCTGGGGGTGGGAAGCCTGCTCTCCCCTCCTCCACACACACGCACGTTGTTACCAAAGCTCATTTTGAAAGTTCAGAGGTGTCCTCTATCCAATACCTGCAACTGCTGTTTTGGCAGAGCTGTTAGGCTGGCTTTGCCTTTATGTTCAGCGATTTCAGCAAACTGCCAACAATTTATAAGGGATGCAAACGAAAAAAAAAAATAAAATGATGTGACAGTCCTTAACTCTTCCCAACTCAGCTAAATCTGGGCAGAAGTTTCCGTGGCAGAGGGAAGGCATTGCTCTACCCAGACAGCTTCCCTCCTGTCAGATGCTTGCTGCAAACAGGGCTGAGAGAGGTACTCGAGGAAAAATCACAAGAATCCTTTTTCTATATAGCACAATCTGTGAAGTTATAGATCACTCCTGACTCTCTTAATAATTGATTAATGAAAAGCTTTTTGTATTCTTTGTGAATATAAGCAATAGTTGAATATGAGGACAGCGAACAATACCTAAGGAGACAAGTTTTGTTTTCTTCACCATCAACGGCAGCAGAGCACAGGCAGAAGCAGATATTTCTTCATTAGTGGAGCATTTAGGATTCTGCGGAGGGTGACGAAATAAGGCTATGAATATGTCACCATTATTGAAAGAAATTAATGTTAATAACTTGGCAATTTTGATGCAAATGCTGCCACTCACAGTCTCTTGATCTCTTAAAGGGCTGTAAGGTGAAGCTCAGTGCTCAGCTCCCCGAAGGGGGTGGCAGCTCTGAGCAGACATCTCGAACGGCAAGCTGTGACACTGCTGACCAGAGCTCAGGATGTGGCTGTGTCTATCTACTTCAAGGTTAGACACATTTGCTTTTCAGTAGCAAGTAGCGGAGGGTGCAATTCCAAGTGTTGGATGCTTTGTAGCAATGACGGTTTATCTATCTATATACACACATATAGAGTCAGACCAGAGTGCATAACCCAATCTTCCCAAGCTCTAATGGTGAACTCCGAGCACTGTAAGAAATCAGCTTTGGGATCGTTTCCTGTATCCTGCCACTCTAATGCTCTGATTCTCACTTTCTACATTAGGTAGTGCCTTCCTTTCTCCCATCAGACTCTATTCACATTTTGTAGTTGTAAGTGAATAGCTTTAGTTTAATGAATCTCTACTTTTCTTCCTACCTGCTCTATCTCCCCAGTGCTGCATAGTCTGCATTCTCATACGCTGCACTACTTCTTCCTCCTTCTCCTCTTTGCTGTATATACCTTGTCTTTCATAAATGGTAAGTGTCAATAAAAGGCTTGAAACAGAAACCAGCTTGACATAGAAGCTCAAATGCAAACCCTCCCCTCGCTACCTGGCAATAGCAAGGGGCTTTAAATACTTTAATTTAAATCTGTGCTCTGTGGATTTGGCTCCACATCCTACCCTAACCTGAAAAGGCTTATTTTCCAGAACAGATGGGAACTGAGTTGACAGATCCTCATAAAACTGACTTGTGAGAGACGATGTTATCTCGTCGTGTTCGAGACAGAACTAAGCCAAAATGACAAAAGCTTCGTTGAGCTATTCGTGCTGCATCTGCCTTGCCAGAGTTGTTCCAGTTCCCGGTGAATGTGGGAACTGTGAGCTTTGTCTGGAGGAACAGTCTGAGGCCCTGAGAAAATGATTTATTTTTTTTCTGGTTTTCTTCCCTTTTTGATATCCAAACCAGGGTGATTTTTGTGTGGTATTGGATTTCATTGCAAAAGAACGGCTCAGTTCACTTGTAGCTTTCCAGGTGTCCTGCACAGCCCTGATAGAAGACCTCAGGAGGCTTTGGTGACACTTATTTACCCTCTCTTTTCCTATAAATTGGAATATGCAAGCTGGCTTTTCTGCGAGCTGAAATGGTGAGGTCGGGATTAAAGCCGAGGCTCGGTTTGCCCAGTGGAGTGCTGCCACCTAGCCGCAGCCGGGCTGCCTGCAGGCAGGGGACGGAGCCCGGCAGAGGAGAAACCCATCACCTCCCCACATCTCCGGTACACCTTCAAGTCCTCTGTGCTTTCAGGTTCTGTATGCAGCAAACAACTAAAATACAATAGGATTGGGACTCAGCCTCCGTAATGATCTGAATTAATAAACGATACTGTGTTTCCTGAAGAATTCCATCAGCTGGGAAGCGCCAAAGTCTCCCATCCAAAGCTTGGGAAGGTCATCTCCATAAGAAGTTTTGGAAGCAGTTCATTCTAAAACACTTCAGCCCGTCTCCTAATGTTTCTAGGATGGAGACAAAATAGCAGGATCCTGGATCTCAAATTCTGTGATAATTGGAACAAAGACCTAAAGCCAGCTTATATTTTGTGTGTCTCAGAGACGCACAGAAGACAAGCTGCAGGAAGGATAAGAGGATGTAACTGGTTTTGCATCTTCTGGGCCAACTGAGATACTCTGCGCCAACTAGAAAGCCAAAGTGGTCCCCAACATAACCTAAAGCAAGTAGCTACTCCAGCTTATGGTTGAGCTGTGGTGCAGTCCAGAATGAGTGAGGGCTGAGCAATATGGCAGGAGCTCTCTCCTGCTCCCAAAATACCACACAGCAAAGGCTGGGAGGATGGATCATATGAAGATGCACACCATGGCCCTCCATTGCTCAAGCGTGAGAAGAATTCTCTAAGAGGTCATTCCACTCCCCTTATGACTCCTCTATAGCACTCCAGTGACATAAGGGGACTATAGGAAGGGCTAGGTTTGGCTGTGTTAGTCAGGGTTCAGCTGCTACCTCGTCGCTTCCTCTGGTAACTCAGCTCAGCTCAGAACTTGGCTTCTTCTGGATCCCAGCTTCTTTCATCATCATGAATCAAGGGGGCAGCCAAACACAGTATTCCACTATGCATGTGCCATGTGTCATCATATGCATGTGTGTAGACACATGTTCTACATTCTCATAAGCTTTTCCAAATGTTTGTCTAGGATTAGGAGAATTTGAGCAAATAGTCATAGTTGTCAGCAGTGAGCCACAGAAATGTAAAGCTCCCTAAGCTTCCCAGACAATGGAGTATGAACAAGTAAAGTCTTGGTAGAAGCTTAGCAAGATCTTGCAGATGCCAGCAGAAACACTTGTCTGCTGAAGCCAGCTTCATTGCTGAAAATACTTGCTTCCAGAAGGAAAAAAAAAAAAAAAAA